GAAGAAGAATTCACATTTATTATTGAACAAAAAAATTCCCAAGTCGAACTTAGACGAGAGTGACGTATATCCGGTGTGTCGAACTGTCACCTTTTTATAGCGTCAACATCGAACTCGCTGACCAATTAGTGCTTACTGAACCATAGCACTATGCAAATGTCATGTGGTTTATCAATCTTCTTGGCCCCCGAAATGTTTGGTGAAGAAAATATGGCCCGCGGGCTATAATAAGTTGGACAGCGCTGTCCTTATTCATACACGTGTTTTGTAGCTCTATACTTAATTTGTCTACTATTAATTATTTATATTGTCTTGAAATTGATTTATGTTTGTGTCTACGAAGACAATTTATTTATGAACATAGCAACTTTGAGAGTCCTACGTAAACGTCTTCTTATCTTATTTTAGCGAAATAACCGGCATGCCGGTGTATCCGGGACAGACCATGAAATCAGATATTTCCGTATGGTAAAAACCGCCATGCCGGTTTAAGTGAGGTTATGGATCACTGTCTAGATAGCGTATTAGAAAAACGGACGAGTTACGTCATGTAAAAACGAACGAGTTTTTATTCTAAAACTTCAAAACTGTCAACAGTACGTGAAAAACTACGATTATGTGTTTAATTTCTTCATTTTGTCTTCTTTCTAACGACTTAAAATACTCTTGAAATTCCGAAAGTGCTTATTTATGTGTTGTTTTTTTAGTTAAGTTATGGCAACGCAACACTTGGGCGTTCTGCCTAGAGGAATGGTTTTCGGGAGATCTTTTATAAAGCAAATTCGCACCTATTCGGGTGTTACATACGTGGAGAACACCCGGAAAACACGTGGCTAGCCCGTCTTGGCGAAGCGCGAACGTACGACCGAACTCCCAGTGTTCAAGAAACAGAACCGCGGGTCGAGAAACCCCTGAAATTATTCGGGGGTAGTCCGTTCAAATATATCTGACTCCGTTTCTCACCACCCATTCGCCCCATTGTGCTACTACTACTTAAAAAAAACTACTTCTACTAACGTCATCACGTTAGTAGTAGTAGTTATTTTTAACTCTTAAATTAATTTTTTTAGTCTCGTAAACGAAAACTCTCTTCCTGATTCCTAGTCAGTCAAATCTTACAATGTTATTATTTTATTGCTCTCGGAAAAACGTTTTCTGTAACGTTTAATTAACAACTACTTTTGTTACATCTGATTAATTTAATTTTTGATTTCAGTCGCATTTAACCGACATGACGGTAACCCCGGGATTTCCGACACGCTGGTCTCCCCATTTATATGCGGCATGCCAGTCATTCCGCAAAAATACGATATGAAGACCAAATCACACGATACTTCGCAACATTCGTATCGCAACTAAGAACAAACTGTGTGGACAAACTTATACTTATTTGCGAGNATGGAAAATGTGGATTTATTCGAAGGCGATATTAGATTGGATACGTCATTTGGAGAGGTGATTTATAAATTTTTACACATTTAACCTTCGTTTGTTCATTTTTAGGACCTATTGTTTTTGGAGGTTCGAGGGAAAAGCGATGCCTGAAAGTGGCTCTTCCAATGATCTTCGTGTCTTATAATTTCTTTAACAGAATCGCAAGACGTGTTCAATTTCCTGGATAGGGTCTATTCATTAAGTTTTCTTGTTCACTTGTGTGTTACATATCAGAATTGGACGTTCATTATCAAGGACTTTCTTGGAAATCTTTTACGGTAAACCTGGAATCCAGACCTTGTGAAAGATCAAGAAATAGGCGACTGAGAATGTGGCATCCTAATCATATGTGATCACCAGTGTAATTAACATCACTCAAATATAAGAAACAATGTTTCAATATTTAATATTCTTATGCGTACTTTGTTTTCCGGATTTTCTGCTCCTTCCTTCTTGCGGACGCAAGAGAAGCCTTATGTAGTGCCAATTGTGAGTTTGCCCAGGTCCATGATGAGGGAATTGAGCAAACCCACAATGGACACAACAATTTTCGTCGGACGTTTAGTGTTTCTGTTCAAAATGGTGATGCTTTTCGTGGTATCTGTATTGGAACTGTCGCATGGATAACGGATGCCAGAAACTTTGTAAAGTCTCTTAACATATATTCAATATTGTATTGATATAAAATTATATGCAGAAATTTTTTGAAATTAATTAAAGAATTTTAAAATGTTTAGAGTCGAGCAGTTGTACTGAAACAGAGTGAACTTTGGGATGATGGTATAATATATTACAAGTTTTCTCCTTTCCTAAGTACGTTACTTTGCTGTATTTGAAATAATTAATGATATCGACTAAAATAATAATAGTAGTTTCTACTAGATTATTACAGAATTAAGTTTTTAAAATCAATTTTTAAGTACATGGAGAGTGTAACTTGCTTACGCTTTGTAACAAGAAGAAGAGAGAATAATTATATTTACATACAGGGAGGAAAAGGGTAAGAATATTGATACAGATATTTAATCATTTGCTTTNTTAAATAATTAAAGATATCGATTAATATAATAATAATACTTTCTATTAGAAATTCACCAAGTTATTCTTTTATTAACAATTTTTCGTGCCATCGAGTATGTAAGTTGCTTACGTTTTGTGTATAGAAGAACAGAGGATAATTATATTTATATACAGGAAGGAGAAGGGTAAGAATATTGATATAGATACTTAATTATTTACGTTATATTTATTATAAGATATATATATATATATTTCAGGTGTAATTCCCACGTTGGAAAACAGGGTGGACGTCAGATTCTTAATTTAGGAAGAGGATGTTGGAACCTCGGAATAATAGTTCACGAATTAGGCCACGTTATCGGCTTTTATCACGAACATAATCGACCAGATCGTGATAGATATATAGATATTAAATGGAGTAATATTATAGATGGTAAGTCATATAAGTCATACTGTTTGATAAATTTTATGCATAAATAGCTTGAACTGATGATTTTTTTTTTTGCGAGCAGAACATACGAAAACGTTTCTGATGTACGATAAAAATTTGTTGAGGATATGTGACAAATATAGTTACGATAGCATTATGCATTATGGTCCTAAAGAATTCGCTAAAGATGGTAAAGTAAGTTTCGAGCCAACTCTTCCAAATATTACCATGAAAGAAATTACGGACCGGCAATTTTTGTCAGAATCAGACATTAATTGTATTAACAAGTTTTACAAATGCGAATAAATTCTCTTGTAAATATATAAATAAAATTTAGTTCATTGTCTGAATTTTCCTGGTAAAACTTTATTTTATGCAGGAAATAATTAGACTTTTCCCTTTTTAGATGGTATTGAATATCCTAATTCATACACGTGTTTAATTTATTTCTATTAATTATTTATATTGTCTCGAAATTGATTTATGTTTGTGTCTATGAAGACAATTTATTTATGACCATAGCAACTTTGAGAGTCCTACGTAAGCGTCCTCTTATTTTTGCGGAATGACCGGTATGTCGGTGTATCCAGGACCGACCATGAAATCAGATACTGTATTTCCGTACGGTAAAAACCGCCATGCCGGTTTAAGTGAGGTTATGGATCCCTGTGTAGAGAGCGCGTTAGAAAAACGAACGAGTTTTTATTCTAAAACTGTGAAACTGTCAGCAGTACATGAAAAACTACGATTAAGTGTTTAATTTCTTCATTTTGTCTTCTTTCTAACGACTTAAAATACTCTTGAAAATCCGAAAGTGCTTATTTACGTGTTGTTTTTTTAGTTAAGTTATGGCAACGCAACACTTGGGCGATCTGCCTAGAGGAATGGTTTCAGGGAGGTCTTTTATAAAAGTAATTCGCTCCTATTCGAGTGTTACAGACGTGGAGAAAACCAGGAAAAAACGTGGCTAGCCCGTCTTGGCGAAGCGCGAACCCAGGACCGAACTCCCAGTGTTCAAGAAACAGAACCGCGGGTCGAGAAATCTCCTGAAATTTTTCGGGGGTAGTCCGTTCAAATATGTCTGACTCCGTTTCTCACCACCCATTCGCCCCATTGTGCTACTACTGCTAAAAAAAAAACTACTACTACTAACGTGATGACGTTAGTAGTAGTAGTTTTTTTTAAACTCTTAAATTAATTCTTTTAGTCTTGTAAACGAAAACTCTCTTCCTGATTCCAAGTCAGTCAAATCTTACAATGTTATTATTTTATTGCTCTCGGAAAAACGTTTTCTGTAACGTTTAATTAACAACTAGTTTTGTTACATCTGATTAATTTAATTTTATATTTCAGTCGCATTTAACCGGCATGACGGTAACCCCGGGATTTCCGACAGGCTGGTCTCCCCATTTCTATGCGGCATGCCAGTCATTTCGCAAAAATACGATATGAAGACCAAATCACACGATACTTCGCAACATTCGTATCGCAACTAAGAACAAACTGTGTGGACAAACTTATACTTATTTGCGAGTATTTGAAGTCCGTAACAACGGGCTATAAATTTCCTGTCTAAATCTGCTGTTTATATTAATAAAAAGTAAAACGGCAAACCCGTATTTGGAACAAGACTATGTCTCGTAGACTCACTACTAAGGGCAATCACTTTGATGCTCGAGACAGTTCTCGTTCTTATTCTCCAATCTTCTTTGGTATCGCTGCTTTTGGGCGCGACCGTTCAAACTTCGCCGGCCACCATGCATTTTCGATGAAATTAACCTATCCAATTTCGAAATTTCTCTCCGTTGCGTGTCGGCCCGGGTTGAATTTTTGTCGATGCGTAACAAAATTTCTCGTTTTTGAAAAACTAATCTTGGTTATTTTATCGTCCGAAATTATTTTTTTTATTTTGCACAAACAATATACAATTTAACCCGATTATAACTTCATCGGATGCAATTACGACACTAATACAACGTCAAATTTTTATCGGTCTCACGATTTTACTATACTAGATAATGTTAAGAAAACCCACTTGTAACGACATAAAACCCTGTTTTAATGTCATATTTGAAGCATTCGCAAATTTACAAAATTAGATTACAAATTTTATTTAACATAGAAGAAACTACGTGTGTTCAGTCCTAAGGTCAGAGTTCACTTCCTAGAACGACTGTGGGTGGTACTCTCACCATCTGACTTCGGTTTGCCTGTTTGTAGAGAGACAAACAAGTTTTTGTATTTTATTTTGAATCGGTTCTCGGTCCCCGAGTGCCTACAACTCTGATTTTTTATGCGCGCATGATTTGGGCACCTGATACTCTGTGCCAAATTGCAACTCCTGACACGTACTCCTTCATACCTCTATGCTGGTAAGAACGGGTGGCAGTACGATTTTATAAACAAGACATAGTCTTGTCAATAATCTGAAGATTGGCAAAATGTGATTGATTCATTCGATGGTTTGTAACTCCGTATAAAGTATATGCCACTTAGAGGCATTAATACTGTAATTCCTTTTCTATCAGACAACTTGCGAGGAATTTTGTCATAACTTACATTCTGTGAATTTGAGCCTAATTTTGGAATAGGCGACGGACGACAATTGATGAGGTAACTCGCAGTAAGCGTGGTCTTTAGAAGTGAACTAATGAAAACACCCAGGTGCTGTAACATGTAAACAGGGGCGCCCGGTGCGGTCGCACCGGGCGCAGTCATAGTGGGGGCGCCGAAAATGCAACGATAGATCGTATGCGAAAAAAATAAAACTCGATCACCTCATTACTACTTAACCCTACTTGCCAAAATAAATACCAAGCTTAAAAACAAAAAAAAAATCCCAAGAACTGAAGACAATGGATCACCAGTTCCAAGAACATAAGACAATGGAAGAGCTGAGGGCCGATAAGACAAAAAGAACGGGTAGTCTTGACTGGACCTTTGTGGGAGTAAGACGTGAAGAGAAGAGCGCTCCAGATCGCGAGTAGGCGACTAGGGGCTATTTGAGACTGAATTATTCCGAAGGAAGGATATTTTGATTATGTTAGAAAAATAGAGAACTCCAGAGTCAACGTAGGACGGAAGTCCCGATAATAAAAAAAGGGAAGAAAAATCACGTCTGGTGTATCTGCAAAATTCGAGGTGGTGCCCATCCAATATTCACGAAATAAAGAGAATCCAGGGTATTTTGATCTTTCCCTTTTTCTATCTACCTTCTCATATAATTTTCTACCCGCTTTGGTTATAAGTTAGTGAGAAAGAATTAGTTCTAAGTTTCTGTACGCGTACTATTGTCGCGAAATTATTGTACTGTATATTAAATGTCCAAAAAGTGATATCCAAGCACATAGAAGGACTATCGCTGAAAAAGATTGTGAAACTCGTTGGGAGAGTAGAGTTTCTAGCCTCGCTGCAGTTCGTTATCACTACTCTTCAGTTCGTGACGCCCTTCTTGATCTTCAGGAAGAAACGAATGACCCAGTTGCAGCATCAGAGGCCTTGTCCCTGATTCAGACCATGGAGCAATTTGAGTTTATAGTAACGATAATGGCTTGGTACGATATATTATTTCGAGTAAACATTGTAAGCGAGGCTATGCAGTCCGAAACTATGGATTTACCAAACGCTACACAATTGCTGAAGAACTACGATGAATTTGTAAAAGAGTACCGGCGTTATTCGTCCGCTGTAATAACAGCTAGGGAAATTGCTTTTCAGGCTGGAATAGATCTTATTTTTAAGTCAGTCCGATCCCGAAGAAAGAAGAGATTATTTAAATACGAGGCCGTAGGTGATATACCAACAGATGCCGAAGAATTGTTTAAAATAAACGTCTTTTGCCCTATGATCGATACAATTGAGAATGCCTTGGTCACTCGATTTACACAACTATCCAAATTTAATGATACACGGTCCTTTTTATACAACATCAAAACAATTCGTGAAAAGTCAAAATTCGAAAAAGCCTGTGCAAATTTAGAAATAAGTTTAACCGATGGAGAAAAATGTGAGGCATCTGAAGAACTTTTACACCCGAATCCATTGTTGAAAGAGCTCGAATCATCAGAATCAATAAAAGTTCTTTAACTTATTAAACAAAATAATTGGCAGGATATATTTCCGAATGTGTGGACTGCGCTTCGAATTTTTCTGACCATACTTATAACTGTCGCTAAAGAAAAACCAAGTTTCAGTAAATTAAAACTTATTTACGTTCAACCATGTGTCAGGATAGACTGTCAGATCTAGCAATTTTATCTATCGAAAATAGTATTGCCCAGGAATTAAATTATTCTGAATTAATAACATTTGCAAGCGCAAAAGCGAGGAAGGTGGCAATGTAGGCTTTTTATTTTATTTTATTTCTTAATTTGTTTCAAGTTCAAATTAATTTACGATGTAAATTTGTCTTTTGCGTGATGTGAGCGTTGTCTGTGCCATAGCAGTTTAAGTAAATATTGATATAAATATTGCCTTATGAAAGAAATTAAATAAATATTGTCTTGAGAAAGAAATATTGTTTTTTTCACTGTTATTGTTCCTCATCCATACTAGTACTATGCTATAGATTTTACACAAGAGTCAGCTGGGTTGTGAGAATATAACACATGATCCTGAAATGTGTGCTATATCTCCATAACCTAAAATTAAGAGATTCCACTACGGAGGAGAGGGCAAAAAACGTCAACAGCTCGCGATACGTCTGAATTAACGAGGGTCAAGTTAACTCTCCATTTACCGTCATTATCGTTTCTCATCCATAGTGTTTCTAATGGTATTACTATACTAATCTTTCGAAGGTCTGAGTTATTAATAATGTGAAAAATGTACGTTATCAGTTTAGTCTCTACAGGGGGAGAACGCAACAATGAGATCTCGCACCACCTAAAAATCTGGCTAGGACCGCCACTGCCCGTAGAAACTAAATGAAATAAACTTTCTCTTTATTTTTCAAAGAAACTTTATTATATTTTATTTTCTGAAATATTTTCACGAACTGTAACAGAGACATGTCATCAATGCCAAATTAATATCATTCTTTCTGCATTGTCTTCAGAAATTCCATATTTATCAAGTATCGGATTATATAAATAGCTTCAACCAAACTTATTGGTTTTCACAAGGACGTTTTCACAGAAAAATAAATGGATAAGAATTAAATAATAAAAAATAGTTAAGAAATTTCTATATAAAGTTCGTCATTTTACGACGTTTACACTACTCAACAATAAGAAAAGTCAATGGAAAAGGTACATTTTTTACATATTTTAACATTATAAATATATTTATTTAATTACTTTAATTAATAATTCGAGTGAAATGACAATAATCGACATTATATCTCGATTTAGTAAATACATCTAATAATTACGCTGTATTTATAACAATGAAGAATTTTATTAAATAACATTTAGACATATTTTTATATAATAAAATAAACTTTTTATTATTAATGTAAGGATTTTATAAGGTAAAGAAGAAAATCCTTAATTTATAAGCTACACGATTATGATTTTCTATATAATCACTTTGTAAGTACTGTATTATAATTACATTAATTGTAATATTATCATTATTATAGAATTTTAATTAATTTATCATTATAGATGTTTATTCCTTTCCTATCAAAAAACTGTTTCAGTAAATAATGAAACTTTCAATTATACTTTGTATAAGAGTTCTATGGAAAATGTGGATTTATTCGAAGGCGATATTAAATTGGATACGTCATTGGGAGAGGTGATTTATAAATTTTTACACATTTAACCTTTGTTTGTTCATTTTTAGGACCGTTTTTTAGGCGGGTCGTTTCGGGTTTCCATTCAAAATGGTGATGCTTTTCGTGGAATCTGTATTCGGACTGTCGCATCGATAACGGATGCCACAAACTTTGTAAAGTCTCTTAACATATATTCAATATTGTATTAATATAAAATTATATTCAGAAATTTTTTGAAATTAATTAAACAATTTTAAAATATTTAGAGTCGAGCAGTTGTACTGAAAAAGAGTGAACTTTGGGATGATGGTATAATATATTACAAGTTTTCTCCTTTCCTAAGTACGTTATTTTGCTGTATTTGAGTTAATTAATAATATCGATTAATATAATAATAATACTTTCTACTAGAACTTCACCAAACTGTTATTTTAAGGACATGTTTTCGCATCATCGAACAATATACTTGCTTACGTTTTCTATCTGGAAGAACAGAGAATAATTATATTTATATACAAAAAGGGAAAGGGTAAGAATTTTGATACTTAATTATTTACGTTATATTTATTATAAGATATGTATATATATATTTCAGATGAAATTCTTTCTTTGGGAAACGGGGTGGACGTCAGATTCTTAATTTAAGAAGTAAATGTTTGAATTTTGGAACAATATTTCACGAATTAGGCCACGTTATTGGCTTCTATCACGAACATAATCGACTGAATCGTGATAAATATATTAAAATTTTATGGGATAATATTAAAGAAGGTAAGTCATACTGTTCGATAAATTTTATGCATAAATAGTTTGAACTGATGACTTTTCTTTAACAAACAGATTTTAAGACGGATTTTCGGGTGTACAATGAGAACTTCTTGAGAATATGTGACCATTATAGTTATGATAGCATTATGCATTATGGTCCTAAATCCTTCGCTAAAGATGGTAAAGTAAGTTTCGAGCCAACTCTTCCAAATGTTACCATTAAAGAAATTTACGAACGGATATTTTTCTCAGAATCGGACATTAAATGTATTAACAAGTTATACAAATGCGAATAAATTCTGATGTAAATATATAAATAAAATTTAGTTCATTATCTGAATTTTCCCGGTAAAATTTTATTTTATGCAGAAAATAAGTAGATTTTTTCATTTTAAATGGTATTGAATATCCTAATTCATACACGTGTTTTGTAGCTCTATACTTAATTTCTCTACTATTAATAATTTATATTGTCTTGAAATTGATTTATGTTTGTGTCTATGAAGACAATTTATTTATGAACATAGCAACTTTGAGAGTCCTACGCAAGCGTCCTCTTATCTTATTTTAGCGGAATGACCGGCATGCCGGTGTATCGGGGACAGACCATGAAATCAGACATTTCCGTATGGTAAAAACCGTCATGCCGATTTAAGTGAGGTTATGGATCCCTGTCTAGATAGCGCATTAAAAAACGGACGAGTTACGTCATGTAAAAACGAACGAGTTTTTATTCTAAAACTGCAAAACTGTCAACAGTACGTGAAAAACTACGATTATGTGTTTAATTTCTTCATCTTGTCTTCTTTCTAACGACTTAAAATGCTCTTGAAATTCCGAAAGTGCTTATTTATGTGTTGTTTTTTAGTTAAGTTACGGCAACGCAACACTTGGGCGATCTGCCTAAAGCAGTGTTTTTCAACCTTCTTGAATACGCGACCCCTTTACAACTTAAAAAATTCTGGCGACCCCCTAGGGCCATATTAAAACTGTATCAGTGATTTTAAAAACTATGTATTTAATTTTCTTACTGTTGAGACAGATTATTGTTGATTAAAACGAAAGTTTCAGGAGAATCGACAATAACTTAACACACGTAAGGTATGAAACTTCCTTTAATTATAACATTGGGCACAGGGACCTGTTGACCTTTTTCTTTTAGGATCAAAATTTTACTTTCTACTTTTGTACTTTCTACTTTTAGATTCTACTTTTGTACTTGTTATTTCTTTTTGCAAATCAGCTCAACACTTTTGCTGCTATGATTTTCTGGGGTGGGCCGTATCCACCCAGGTCCCTCCCTGGCTACACCCATGGTTGAGACCTAACAATCGATCAAAAAATTAATTGTACTGTAAAATAAACACGTACAGCCTTCGCACTAAAATTGTAGTTTTTTAATGTAGTGTAGGACCTACAAACACTTGTCTTTTTCTTTTACCCGCGACCCCTGTGTAAGGCTTCGTGATCCCTGTGGGGGTCGCGACCCACAGGTTGGAAAACACTGGCCTAGAGAAATGGTTTCCGGAAGGTCTTTTATAAAGGTAATTCGCACCAATTCGGGTATTACAAACGTGGAGAAAACCCGGAAAACACGTGGCTAGCCCGTCCTGGCGAAGCCCGAACCCAGAACCGAACTCCCAGCATTCGAGAAACAGAACCGCGGGTCGAGAAACCCCTGAAATTTTTCGAAGGTGATCCGTTCAGATATGTTTGGCTCCGTTTCTCACCACCCAGTCGTCCCATTGTGAGCCTGGCCGACCTTAATGGGCTAAGTGTTTTAAAAAAAACTACTACTACTACTAACGTCATCAAGCAATTAATTCTTTTAGTCTTATAAACGAAAACTCTTTTCCTGATTCTAAGTCAGTCAAATTACAATGTTATTATTTTATTGCTCGCGGAAAAACGTTTTCTGTAACGTTTAATTAACAACTAGTTATGTTACATCTGATTAATTTAATTTTATATTTCAGTCGCATTTAACCGGCATGACGGTAACCCCGGGATTTCCGACACGGTCTCCCCATATATATGCGGCATGCCAGTCATTCCGCAAAAATACGATATGAGGACCAAATCACACGATACTTCGCAACATTCGTATCGCAACTAAGAACAAACTGTGTGGACAAACTTATACTTATTTGCGAGTATTTAAAGTCCGTAACAACGGGCTATAAATTTCCTGTTTAAATCTGCTGTTTATATTAATAAAAACAAATAAAACGGCAAACCCGTATTTGGAACAAGACTATGTCTCTTAGACTCACTGTGAAAATATAAAACCTACTCGCGATCTGGAGCGCTCTTCTCTTCACGTCTTACTCCCACGAAGGTCCAGTCAAGACTAACCCGTTCTTTTTGTCTTATCGGCCCTCAGCTCTTCCATTGTCTTATGTTCTTGGAAATGGTGATCCATTGTCTTTAGTTCTTGGGATTGGTGGTCTCACCCAAAGCGAAAAAAGGAAATAAAAGAAAGTTCTACAAATACGAAGAACAAAAGGAAATAAGGAAATAAATGTATAAATATTGGTTTCTTTAATCTTGGTATTTATTTTGGCAAGTAGGGTTAAGTAGGGATCGAGTTTTATTTTTTTCGCAGACGATCTATCGTTGCATTTTCGGCGCCCCCACTATGACGGCGCCCGGTGCGGTCGCACCTGTTTACACGTTACAGCACCTGGGTGTTTTCATTAGTTTACTTCTAAAGACCACGCTTACTACGAGTTACCTCATCAATTGTCGTCCGTCGCCTATTCCAAAATTAGACTCGAATCCACAATTTTTCATATTGTAAGTTATGACAAAATTCCTCGCAAGTTGTCTGATAGAAAAGGAATTACAGTATTAATGCCTCTAAGTGGCATATACTTTATATGGAGTTACAAACCGTCGAATGAATCAATCACATTTGCCAATCTTCAGATTATTGACAAGACTATGTCTTGTTTATAAAATCGTACTGCCGGTTTATGTTACCAGCTTAGAGGTATGAAGGAGTACGTGTCAGGAGTTGCAATTTGGCACAGAGTATCAGGTGCCCAAATCATGCGCGCATAAAAAAAACCAGATCTGTAGGCACTCGGGGGACCGAGAACCGAGTCAAAATAAAATACAAATGGCGACTCTCTCTACAAACAGGCAAACCGAAGTCAGATGGTGAGAGTACCACCACAGTCGTTCTAGGAAGTGAACTCTGACCTTAGGACTGAACACACGTAGTTTCTTCTATGTTAAATAAAATTTGTAATCTAATTTTGTAAATTTGGGAATGCTTCAAATATGACGTTAAAACAGGGTTTTATGTCGTTACAAGTGGGTTTTCTTAACATTATCTAGTACAGTAAAATCGTGAGACCGATAAAAATTTGACGTTGTATTAGTGTCGTAATTACATCCGATGACGTTATAATCGGGTTAAACTGTATATTGTTTGTGCTAAATAAAAAAAATAATTTCGGACGATAAAATAACCACGACTAGTTTTTCAAAAATGGGAAATTTCGTTACGCATCGACAAAAAATTAACCCGGTCGACACGCAAAGGAGAGAAATTTCGAAATTGCATAGGTTAATTTCATCGAAAATGCATGGTGGCCGGCGAAGTTTGAACGATCGCGCCCAAAAACAGCGATACCAAAGAAGATTGGAGAATGAGAACAAGATCCGCCTCGAGCGTCAAAGTGATTGCGCTTAGTACAACATCGCTCACAAAAGTGAGCTGTGTTGTGAGAATATAAAACATGATCCTGAAATGTGTGCTATATCGCCATAACCTAAAATTAAGAGATTCCATCTACGGAGGAGAGGGCAAAAACGTCAACAGCTCGCGATACGTCTGAATTAACGAGGGTCAAGTTAACTCTCTATTTACCGTCGTTATCATTTCTCATCCATAGTATTACTAATAGTACTACTATACTAATCTTTCGGAGGTCAGAATTATTAATAATGTGAAAAATATACGTTATCAGTTTAGTCTCTATAGGGAGGGACGCAACAATGAGATCTCGCACCAACTGAAAAACTGGCTAGGGCCGTCACTGCCCGTAGAGACTAAATTGTACATAGAGATTACAGATACATTTTTCACATTATCATGCTTTATCACCGTTCTACGCTGTACTTAAAAAATTTGTAATGGAGGGTTAACTCTAAACGCACAGTAAGTTGGTGACCATTTTTTTTTTTTAGGCGTCAGAATTTTTCATCGAGCTATTCGGACTTGAGTAGCTAATATTAAAAGATCTGGCCCGCAGGTGGTATGCTGTCCATGCCTGGTTTAGGGCCAAGGAATAGATTAATTCACTTTCTATTGTTTTAACGGTAATAACTAATTCGAACGTCAAACGATTCCGCGTTCGAACGGCCTCCTGCAATGAATTAAATACGAAGTACAATACGTTGCACCACTTATTTGATATCGTCCTCGTTGAAATATTTTACGTTTAATAACTATGTATTTAATTCAGAAATATGTAATAATACTATTTAAAATGAGTTTTTTCTTTATTTTTCTAAGAAACTTTATTATGTTTATTTTCTGAAGTATTTTCACGTACTGTAACAGAGACGTGTCATCAATACCAAATTGATATCATTCTTTCTGCATTGTCTTCAGAAATTCGATAATTTTCAAGTATCGGATTATATAAACAACTTCAACCAAACTTATTGGTTTTCAAAAGAATGTTTTCACAGAAAAATAAATGGATAAGAATAAAATAATAAAAGAAAAGTTAAGAAATTTCTATATAAAGTTCGTCATTTTACGACGTTTACACTACTCTACAGTAAGATAAGCCTATGAAAAAGGTACATTTTTACATATTTTAACATTATAAATATATTTATACAATTATTTTAATTAATAATAATTAAGAATTCGAGTGAAATGGCAATAATCGACATTATATCTCGATTCTGTAAATGCCTGTAATAATCATGCTGTATTTGTAATATTAAAAATTTTATTAAATAACATTTAGACATATTTTTATATAATAAAATAAACTTTTTATTATTAATATAAGGATTTTATAAGGTAAAGAAGAAAATCCTTAATTTATAAGCTACACGATTATGATGTTCTATATAATCACTTTGTAAGTACTGTATTATAATTATATTAATTGTAATATTATCATTATTATAGAATTTTAATTAATTTATCTTTATAGATGTTTATTCCTTTCCTATCAAAAAACTGTTTTAGCAAATAATGAAACCGTCAATTATGCTTTGTATAAGAGTTCTATGGAAAATGTGGATTTATTCGAAGGCGATATTAGATTGGATACGTCATTTGGAGAGGTGATTTATAAATTTTTACACATTTAACTTTCGTTTGTTCATTTTAGGACCTATTGTTTTTGGAGGTTCGAGCGAAAAGCCATGCCGGAATGTCTTCCAATGATCTTCGTTCCTTCTAATTTTTTTAACAGAATCGCAAAAGACGTGTCTAATTCCCTGGATAGGGTCTATCCATTAAGTTCTCTTGTTCACTTGTGTGTTACATATCAGAATTGGACGTTCATTATCAAGGGCTTTCTTGGAAATCTTTTACGGTAAACCTGGAATCCAGACCTTGTGAAAGATCAAGAATTAGGCGACTGAGAATGTGGCATCCTGATCATATGTGATTACCAGTGTAATTAAGATCTCTCAAATAGAAGAAAACAATGTCTCAATACAGTATTTAATATTCTTATGCGTATTTTGTTTTTTGGATTTTCTGCTCCTTCCTTCTTGCGAACACAAAAGAGGCCTTAACTAGTGCTCATTGTGGATTCGCCCACGTCCCTCATTGTGGACCTGGGCAAACTCACAATGGGCACAACAATTTTCGTCGTACAGTTAGTGTTTCTATTCAAAATGGTGATGCTTTTCGTCGTATCTGTATTCGAACTGACGCATGGATAACGGATACCAGNAATTCCGTACATTTCAAAATTTTATGAAAAATATAAAATTTATATTAAAGAATTATTTTTTGTCAACTTAGTAGGTGAACAAAGAAATAAATTAAATTAAAGTATTTGTTTGATTAATAAAGCAAATGAGATACAATCGAAGAATCCTTTAGAAGTAGCAGGAGTCGTATACGAGTTAATGTGCACGTGTACACAACGGAAATACTATATTGGAGTAACAGGAAGAAAACTGGAAGTGAGACTGAAAGAGCATGAAGCGGCAATCCGACTAAATAGAACAGAATCCCCGTGGCAACAACACTGCAGTATGACAAATTTGCGACCGAAATAATATTAAAATATTGTATAAAGTAAAAAATCTTGTAAAAAGACGCATCATAGAACATTATTGTATATAAGGACATGTAAATTGTATAAATTTAAATACCAACGCATGTGTTAATGCATGCTGGAATAGCTTGATAGAGTATAAAAGTACTGGCAACGTAACAATGTAATATCCACTGATGAGGCTGACAAGCGAAATATATATGGATAAAAATAAAGTAAGAAATAGTGAAAGTGATTTTCTGGTCTTTCTCTGTTTTTAAACTCTATCGAAGTCGGAATTAAAAAGTGAATTCACTTGTATTTCTTAAAGGTTTTTTTTAAAGGAAAAAATTTTTAGAATTTATTAATTAATTTTAATGGATTATTTATTTATCAGTGGCGTGCCGTGATTGGAAGCGCCGTTCCCTTGTATTTTCTAAAAAATAAATATATATTGTGCGATTATAGTAGAGCCTCGATTATCCGACTCAATTGGGGACTGGGGTTGGTCGGATAATTGAAAAGTCGGATAACCGAAAAGTATGAAAAAATCCATTATTAGTGTAGTATATTATTATATCTCATGTAATTAGTATATTAGTATATCGCTATTAACCTACTT